GGGCAAAATCTTAAGTTCTTCTCCTCCATTACCTTAACTCCCCCCTCATTAACTACCTCAAATGACTTCCCAAACACGGATAATGTGTCCCCCACCTTCCCTCCACTCACATTACCCCTACCCAAACAAGCTCTTAATGCACCGATCAGGAAAAGTGATAATATTACAATTAATGACGCAAAGAGATCTAGAGAGGTGGATCTATGAGAATTTGGTTAGAAGCAATTAAGAAGGATATTATAATGGTTAAATTAATGGAGGAAATAGTCAAAAATTGAACAGACAGGAAAAATAGGATTCATGTAGCTGATCACAAACATTTGAGATAAAGGCTTTGTTGTCGTTATTGTTGTTGTTGATATGCACCAGTAATTTATGGGAAGGAAATAGACATGAGATATTAAAGATCAAAGAAAAATATGTGTTAACTGTCTTATGCCATGGACCCCATGCGTACATAGTGAAGTGGAGACGTTCAACATCTGAAGGCAGCTTACCTGAGCAAATGCAGTGCGGAGAGATGAACGAATATAGGTGTCGATCCTCGTTCGAGCAACATCAACTTCTTCTCGCCTCCTCCGACGATATTCATTAGAAATATCTTCCACTAGTATTCTGGCAGATGATACTCCTAAAGAGACAATACACTCCATGGACTCAATGTTATTAGGATTAAAGGTGTCATGGTAAGCAAGAAGTCTTTTCTCTGCCCAGCCCATTATCGAAGTCAATGTTGAACTCAGTACCTTTGAATACGTTGGGTCTTTCGTGGATTTAGCATCCTTAACAACCTCGCCTAACTGATTATCAGCAGCAAACAGAAGATCTATATCTACTTGGCCATTAGTAACAAAATGATGAAACATAATCCACAAAAAGACGAGGTTATGAAGCTTCTGATCTATTCCCAGGACAGCCCATGTCTTTTTTATCAATTCTAGAACCTCATCAATCTCTTCAATTATTGATCCTTCCTCTCCACTATCAAAACAAGCCTCTAATAGCATTTGATACAAATGGAGATTCAACGGGAAGCCATCTGCCCAATGGCATGATTCAGTAGCATATCCATCATATGATCTGGAAGCAAGGCTCATCACAGCATTTCGCAAAACCTGCATCGATTCTGAATTCTTCCCTGTTTCAAGCTGTCTCTCAGAAGCACCACGTATAATTTGCCTAAGCCGTTGTGCTGCAGAATCTGACTTTTGTAGTGGAACGAGAGGATGCATAAGCAGTCCTGCCTCAAGAACCCTTAGGTTTCTACCCTGCCAAGCCACATATTCTTGCTGATCAGGAAAATCTGAAGCTTTAAACTGTTGTAACAACTCCAATGGCAAAACCATCGACTCAATGCGCCTCCCAAGCTGTTACAAGAGAGAAGAGCCAAAGAAATACAGAACACAGTCAAATGTAGTGTTCAGACAATTAACAGGTAGTTATGCTGCTACTACTTCACTACTTGCACGCACACAGATTAAAAGTTTGTAAAAGTTTATTAAACACCCGAATCAAATTATTAACAATGAACACACCTAGCAATTCATCATGGGCAAAATTAAAACTCCCACTTACCCACTTAACAAATCACAAACACTGATGCCTAACATTACATCATAAATAAATGAAAACATATTTTAAATGTTGATCCATGTATAAAGTTCAAGAAAAAGACAAAGAAAACAATACCTGTACGAATAAAATTTTCTAGCTTATGACCAACACAAGAGTACAACACCTACTATTTTAAACCAAAAATCAAAATTCATGATAAATATCGCAAACCTAACACTTCATAGATCAGAGTTCAACTCATTGCATTTAGGATCTAGCAAAGATCAATTCCTCACTATAATTTCCATGTCCCCAGTAGACCCAATTTAGTAAAGATCTATCCCAAAACGAACTAGATCTACATCAATTACACCCAAAAACCCTAAAATCCAACTTTCTGACCTGACTCGCAGCAATCCTCAACAACCCTCTCCGAATTCTCGAATCCGACTGCTCCGAAACCCTCATCTGAACCCTTATCAGCTCCCCAACGGTCATCTGCTTCCTCTTCGGGCTGCTCTCCTTCGCCGGGCTCTTCTTCGACGACGACTTAATCCCCAGCGCCTTCTTCATCTTACTCGCCGCCGTCGACGTCAGCGACCTCTGCAGATTCGGCGACATCGACAGCGTCGACGAGGAATTCGACAGCGAGCGGTCGGTGGAATTAGGGCTCTTCTCGGATTGGGGAATGTAGGTTAGGGGTTTGCCGCCGGTGGTTCTGCAAGCGCCGACGAAGATCTCGTAGGCGGTCTCTCGGAGCTCGAGATCGGAGATGCCGACGGCGAGGTCGCCGAACGGGGAAGGGAGATCGATGGGGGGCATCGTTGGTACGTTGGAGGAGGAGAAGCGCAACGAGGTTGAGCTGTGGCGG